TTCAAAAAAGTAGTCTTACTATGATGAATAACTAACAGTCATCAAACTGTATCTTGTTTAAAACTGTATAATCAATTGTCTGGCAGCTTGTTGACAATCTCTTTCACTGAAGACTTTATCATAACCATACTCATTATAATGACTTCTGTCTTCACAATTACCAAAATGTTTTTTTGTTTTGTTTTTTTTATCAAGGGAGAATCTTGACTGCAAAGATCCTTATCATCTACTTTCCTTTCTCTGTAGTACAATAGTTTGTATTATGTCATTTGTCCCCTCATGTTCTGCAAGACGGTCATGGTATTAAATTCTCTTTCTCTGCCAACAACCATCATTAACAGTATCCCATGAGTATAACATAATTTGTTTCAAAGTGAGACTCTGGATTCTTCCTTTAGCTGTCTGTGAGAACGTCTTATGTAATTTAGTGTGGTAACTCTAAATTCCATATAAATTTCCATGAAACTTTCAAAATCCTTCAGCTGAAATAGTTTACCTATCTGCTCATTATCTTTTCAATCTTTTACTCCATACATGTCTGGTCATCTACAATCAACTTATTTGCGACTCATTTTATTAAAGACAGGTTCTAAACCTATGTACATAACTTTGGTAATCTGTTTGACTAAAAGCAGTAAGACTGCATTCAAGACAAGCAGGGATAAGATCTGGCAACCAAGCACCCTACCTGGTGGATCCTATGCAGTGATCAGCTGCACTGACTTCAGTAAACATCACAGTTTTAGATGTGTTACTGTCATTGTCCTATTCAATACAGTTGAACTCCAGTTACTCTACCTAACGCCCTCCAGACAGTTAGAATTCGTAGCTGTGTTCATCTGGAATATCTAAAGGGATATTTTGCAAAAGAAGTTGTACCATAAGCCTTTATAAACTTGGTCTACTGCATACTGCCAGAAATAGTGCAAACTGACTCCACTTTAACTGCCCTGACCCAGTGCTAGGGAATCATGGGAAGTGTAGTTTATTATTTATCAATGGGTCTTTGCAGACTGCCAGAAATAGTGCACTTTAAATTGAGGCACTGGCCTGGCTCAGTGCTAGGGAATCATGGGAATTGCATTTTTTTCTGAGACATTGAGCCTTCTCTGTCAGAGAGTTCTGATGCCACAATAAAATACAGTTCCCATGATTCCCTAGCACTGAGCCAGGGCAGTGCCTCGATTTAAAGTGCACTATTTCTGGCAGTCTGCAACTCCGATGCATAGACAGAACTGGTGGAAGTAGACCAAGTCTATGAAAGCTTACGACACAACTTTTTTTGCAGATAGTCACAAAGCTGCTACAAGGTCCCATAGTGTACAACTCCCAGCATTACTCACCATTGGCTATGATGGCTAAGACTCCTGGGAGCTACAATCCAGCAATAAACGGAGGGGTTCACAATTGCCATCTCTGACTTACAGGGTATGGCAGAACTCTGGAAAATTACTTTTATGAACTACAATTCTCAGAACAGTAGAGACCAGGGACAGTAGTGGGTGGGGACTTCTAATGCTCATTATCCAAAAAGTAAATTTTCCATGTTCTGACTTGCTGCCTGAGACTATAAATGACAATTACTGCAAATATGATTCATCATCACAACTTCCTCAATCCTCCTTTCACAACCCCTGTGTAACATGTGCAGAACATGCCATATGTGCACATAGGAAAGGGGACCAATAGTTTCCATAAGTATACTTTGAAACAAGGGGGGGGGGAAATCAATCGGGGGGGAGCTGGGAAAAAAGAAATCTATGTTCCATCTGCCCTGCAGAAATGATGCTATTTGACACCATTTTAACTCTCTGCTATGTAATCCTGGGATTTGTAGTTTGTGGTGGCACCAGAGCTCTCAGAGAAGGCTAAATATCTTCTTGCTGTTGCCTGCATATGCCTCCAAGTCATTTTTGACTTATGGCGACCCTAAGGTGAACCTATCATGGGGTGTTCTTGGCAAGATTTGTTCAGAGGAGGTTTGCCATTGCCTTTCTCTGAGGCTGAGAGAGTGTGACTTGTCCCAGGCCACCCATTGGGTTTCCATGGCCAAGCTGGGATTCAAACCCTGGTCTACCAGTGTCCTACTCCAACGATGAAACAATTATACCACGCTGGCCCGTTTTGTATTGTATTTTGTATTGCCAATTCAAATACAGCTTGTCCTTCATACTGACCTGTCTACTTTACCTTCTGCAAACATTTCATCTGCATTTTTATACTCAGCCAACAAGACCTTTCCAGCTTTAAACTGTATATGCATTCTTATGAGTGTATTTTAATAGTTTTATAGTACTGTA